TGGGTAGCTTAATGAAATATGGCCTTGTTGGAGGAAAATGTCACTGGGGGTGGGTTTTGAGAGTTTAAAGAACCTTCCACTTTTAGTTTGCTTTCCCTGTTTTGTGCTTGCAGTTGACAATGTGAACCCTCAACTTCTGATCCTACCACCATGCCTGCCCTGGTTGCCATGCCTCCCTCTGCCATCATGGACTCTTATCCCTCTGGAATGATAAGCTCAAACAAACTCTTCTGCTTGTGGCATTTTATCACAATAGAAAAGTGACTAATACATGTTATATCCTGACAGTACTAGCCTCAGATTGAACTGATGATTTGCATAACTGGTATCTTTAAGGAATATAATTCTCTCCCACAATTTGTTTGTCCAGAAGCATGAAGTATGGGTCTGTAAATGTCAAAGTAAATTACCCTTTAGTTTGGCTATATCATTTCTTGCTTTATTGATTTTCAAATTAGAATACAAAATAATGGATTTTATTGTGACATTTTTACACATATGTCATTGTGATTGCTCACCCCTCACCCCCATAGTACCTTCCTTTCCCTCTGTCTCTTGTGTTCTTCCTCCTCCTTGAAGTAGTTTCCCTTGATTTCACTTCACACATAAGTATACACATGTAGCTAAATCTACTCTCTATGCATGGGAGAAAGCATATGATAGTTTGTCTTCCTGCCATCATTGTTCCTCTTCTCTTCCTCTCTCCTGCTCAATCTATTTCATTAAAATCTGCACAAAGCGCTGAAGAGACACTGAGGGAGATATAAAGATAGGCCCGTGTTCTGTTTTCCAAGAACCCAGGTTTGGAGAAAAGGCTGACCACAAGAGTCTATTCCATCATGGGGTTACAGTGCCATGACGGAGTGAAGAGAAAAACACAGAAATATGAAAATACCAATACTTCTGGGTCAAAGAAAACTTCCAAAAATAGCTATCTTGATCAAGAATGAGAAAAATATGGCAAGCTGAATAGAGAAGATGGATATTCTATTTGCAAATGAATGAGAAGCATAGTTCCTAGAGACAAAACAGTATGGCACACTTAGAGGAAGGATCACATGCACATAATGGAGATGATGTAGGAACAGTGTTCCCACAAGAATACACACAGTCTGAGTAGTGCCTTCCCTGTGCTACAAATATGCCAATGTCTGACAGTTTGTTGCCCAAGCTTCCATCACTAACATTCTTCAACATCACATGGTACTGTAAATATGAGGAAAACTGAAAGTCATTTTATTAATGGGATCAGTCAGAAACTGAGAAGAGTAAAGGAAAGAGGGCCAGGGGTTGTGTTTGCAAGTACTATCCAGTATGGTCTTCGGGAAATTGGAAAACCAGTAGGTGGTTTTCTTAGGGTTATTATTGCTCTAATGAAACACCATGACCAAAAGCAACTTGGGGAAGAAAGGGTTTATTTTACTCCATTCGCTGTTCATCATCCAAAGAACTCAGGCCGGGTTCTCAAACAGGGCAGGAACCTGGAGGCAGGAGCTGATGCTGAGGCCATGATGGAGTGCTGCTTACTGGCTGCTCAAACTGTTTTCTTACAGAACTTAGGACCATCAGCCCAGGGGTGGCCTACCGGATAGGGTAGACTGGGCCCTACCCTATCAACCACTGATTAAGAAAAATACCCTACAGGCTTGCCAATAGATGGCCAGCTATTATGGAGGTATTTTCTCAAATAAGATGCCCTCCTCTAATGCTGGGTGTTGGTGGCACACACCTCTAATCCCAGCACTTGGTAGGCAGATGCAGGCAGATCTCTGTGAGTTTGAGGCTAGCCTGATCTACAGAGTGAGTTCCAGGACAGGCTCCAAAGAAATACAGAGAAACTCTGTCTTGAAAAACAAAATCAATCAATCAATCAATCAATCAAACAAACAAAAGACTCCCTCCTCTCAGATGACTTTAGCTTGTGTCAAGTTGATATAAAATTGCACAGCACAGTGGTTAATTTATACAAGTGAGCATTTAAGGAAGTTACAGTGCAATAGGAAATCCAGTCTTTGATTGGAGCCTCAAATTCCTAAAGAGGCTGAAATCAACAACACCTAGAAACTTTTTGTCTCTCTCCCTATTATTTCTTAATTTTCAGAGTCCTCAGGGATCTCAAGATCTTTCCATTTTTCACCCAGAAAAACCTTCACTCTATCTACAAAGTTCTGTGGCCACAATCTTAGTTCCTTAAGCCCCACCTCTTCTTTCATAGATTACATTCTCTTGCCAGAGACTCTCGTCCACTTCGTTTTGTTTTCTAAGCCCAGTTTAAATCAGTCACTCTTCCCTTCCTTTTCTTCTTTATTCCCCTTTCCTATGCCTCTCTACCCCCTCTTGTACTAGGCCTTAAACCTCATGCTTCAAGCATGCCAAGCAAGCACTTTGAGCTATGGGCAAAGTCCTCACTTAAAATATTTATACATAGATTTTATCCTTTTTCTTCTCAGCCAACTAAACCCCATGCCACTAAAACAAATGGGCTCCATTGTGATGGGAGAGGGATAGCAGAAGGCTCTAAATTCTTGTATGTTAATTCTTTGGAACCATTTACAGTAACTAAATTATACAATGGTCAGAAAAGGGTAGAGAAGTAGTAGCATAATGAAGTAGGAGGTGCAGAAGTCAGGTTAACAGATCTAGGCAGAACCCCACAGCCAGCTATATAAGGATGGAGGAGGAGATGATTAGAGTTTTAAGACTGCCTTTTAATTGGTATCTAGAATAATCTCACAGTGTATATGAGCCACCATGGCTGGGGAATGTAACCAAAGGATGTATTCAAGACACAGACAAAGAAGATAACAAATCTGACTTGCTGATTCTGAGATAGTGGCGTGATGTTAAGTCATATTTAGGAAACACTGCTTTAATTTGATATGAGATGTCAGCAGTCTCCCAGTCTGTGTGCTTTAAAATGGTACTTATGGTTGAACATTTTGGAAGACTGGCTATACCAGGATGATTTCTAAAGGAAATAATCCACTTTGCTTTGTTTCCAACCCCTATCCCCCCCACACACATTTTTTTCTTTCTTTTCTGAGTAGGTAGTATCATCATCCTACTGAAGATTCTCTCCAGGGATAATGTTTTAAGAAATGTACCTTAAAAACACTTAGGGATTATAATCACAGGATGATTAAGGCAGAAAGAACATGAAGGAGGTGGAGGTGGCTGTTGATCTGCATAGAAGTATGAGTTGAAGGGCTGCAAAGGGATGATTCACATCCAGGGCACGGAAAGAGAAAGGGATGTTGGAAGTGGCATTCAAGATGACCTTTGACACCTCAGAGAGCATGCAGAGAAAGTCATTTGTAAAGACACTCAGTCATGATGGCAAAACCATGAATTTCTAAGTATTAAAAGTAATCTAACCTTTCTAAGATTCAGTCTTTTAACCCAAGAAATAATGCCCAACTTAATGGGTTATATTAGAATTTGAAATTGCTACAATAGGAAGATAGAAAGACCAACTCAATAAATACTACTATTAATTTCCATTTAAACTTTCTCGATGAATTAAAGAACACCCTGATGAATGTAAACTGGTATGTTGAAACCTGGGTGTTGTATAGTTACTTTAGAAAAATCTAGAAACCCTGTACAAAAAATCAGTGCCAGTTCAGATGAGCCTGGGACAATAGAAGCTTTGTGGGAGCAGACACTCTTCTGGAGTTAGGAGACAGAAGTAGATATCACAGGGATTTCCCCAAGGCAGCAGTGACTTGGAGCTTTGAAGATCAGCCTGTCTTGAGGAGATACTGTAAGATAGTACCAGAAGCTGAGAAGTGTATCTGCTTTTCCTCCTTGCACACAGATGTAGGGAACAGAGTAAGTACAGAGCTTTCCTTCCACTACAGCAATTATCTGGCACCCTTGGGGTACCTGCAACAGACTGATGAGCTAGTGTGCCTACTTCTGCTACTATAGGTCTCACAGCCACAATTGCAGGCACAAGTCTTTTTCAGTATTGGTCAAATGAGTATACAAGGTCAGAAGAAGACTAGGCCTAAGGATTAAAAGCTGTGTCCTGACACATAAGGTGGTTTTTTTCTTCAGCACAAAAGATGGGGCAATTAAAAAGATTTTCCAAAGTCAGCTCACTTCACATAGTCAGTGGGTGGTCATGAAAATTCATTATTTTACAGTCTTTTCTGCTTGTATTCTGAGCTGGTCTGAGGAACTTGGTACTATTGAGAGTCGTCACTTGATACAACTTGCCAGTATCCTTAATCAAGTTTAGCCTGTGCAGCCCAGATGGAGATGGTGATGGAGATGACTAGAAGGATGACAACCAGCTTTGGAGACATGTTTAAGGTGCCAGGGTTATTTTTAGAAGTAGTTGGTGACTGATTTATGGACATGAATATACAAGGATATCCTGTCAGTGCTCATTAGTTCTCTACACAGACATAGGCTAACATGCAAATGAATTTGCCTCAAGAATTTATGAGGTCTTCATCAAAGATGTTCTGGGAGCAAATGGGCATTCATGTACTCTGATTTAGGGTCACTTTCCCAAATACCACAAGACTTGGTGTCAAATGAGCTCACATAAAATATGCTGCTAAAGACTGACTCAAAGTTTGGAAGCAGTGGTATTAGTGGCTTCTACAATCACCCAAGGTCTAATGCCCCAGCAAACAGCATCTCTGGACAGCTTGCCTTTTGACACTTTCCAGGGACCTTTTGCATGAACTTAAGTTTCAGCATCTCTGCCTCAGATCTGTATTACATATGTCAATAACCACTGATCACCATCTCATATATATATATATATATATATATATATATATATATGAGAGAGAGCATCTTTTTTCATTTTTAGCATCTGCAAGAACATGAAGTTTACTTATGGAGAAGTTGTTAAAATATCGTATTTTAACTTTATGATTTGTTTTGTAGTAGTTAAACCTCATTTATGACTTCTGACAAATTTCTGTTCTTTTTCAGGATTACAGTGACATGAATCATGAGATCAAAAGAATAAGAAGGAAAACATTTAAAGTGGCTGTAAGTTTCTCTTGGGAGGCTTTTATTTCCCCCTGCAGCTTCTCGATGTACTGGAAAGGAGAAGGGGATAGAGAGCAATGCCTAACTCATCATAGTCAAAGTGTCCCACAGGTAAATGTCTGCCTGTTCTCAATCTACTGACTGGCAGCATTAGGATGATAGATAGGTATTGAAATCTGTACCAGAAAGGCCATTTCTCTGTCTGTGAGAAAGCCTGAGGGCAAAGTACAAAACTGCTAGGGAAAAAAGGTTGCTTGAGGTGATGAGGTTAATGCTTGTGTGTGTGTGTGTGTGTGTGTGTGTGCGCGCGCGCGCGCGCACGTGCACGCATGCACGTGTGTGCACATGTGTGTTGCTGTGTATTCATGCATATACACGTTTGCAAAAATAGGCATACACAAAATCTTTGGACTGAACAAAAGTCAAATTTACATAATGATGCATACATAATTTTTCAGAGATCTATCACTTTAAAAATTAAAAATATGTGTGCTGTATAGTTTTGTGTCAACTTGACACAAGCTAGAGTTATTTGAAAGGAGGCACCCTCAATTGTGAAAATGTCTCCATAACAACTGTCAAGCATTTTCTTAATTAATGATTGATGGAGGAAGGCCCAGCCCCATTGTGGGGTAGTTCCACCCTTGGACTGGTGATTATGGGTGCTATAAGCAGGCTGAGCAAGCCATGGAGCAAGCCAGTAAGCAGCACCCCTCCATGGCCTCTGTGTTGACTTCTGCCTTCAGGATCCTTCCCTGTTTGAATACCTGTCCTGACTTCTTTTAGTGGTTAACAGCAATGCTGAAGTGTAAACCAAACAAACACTTTCCTCCCCAACTTGCTTTTGGGGAGGATATATGTGTACAGTTGATGCCATGTACAAAATAATTAGACTATTAAGCTAATATTTCCCAAAAGGACACATTATCAAAAGAAAAAATGCCTAAATGTAATGAAAAATTTTAATCTGTGAATGTTCATCAGTAAAAAAATTACTTTTACCAAATGTAAATGTTGTATTCACTTCCATTATCTCAAATATTTATTTAAATTATCATTATTTTATGGAATGCTAAGGATCGGCCCTTGCACATCCTAAATATAAATCACTACATTTACCAGAGATTTTAGGTTAAAGACTTGGGCTCCAGAACTCCCCATAAACTAGTCCCAGGCCCCTATCCCAGTAAACCAATTTAGAGAAATGTAAAGCAAGAGAAAGGAGATATTTATGTAGTATGACCACATTGGGAAGAGGAAAAAATATACAAGTCCAGTGACCTTGAAGTCCGATTTTTGGAGCTCAGACGTGAAATTTGAAGGCAAGAACTTTGCATAGTAAAGCACTGTGGGTCCCAAACAGCACTGTCCCAAACAGCACTGGTCCATCAATTCCTCAGCTGCATCTGCCCTGTATGGTGGTCGTCTAACACATTAAGTAGTTCATTTCAGAATGCAGCCTCATTTTTGTGGGCAATTGCCCTCATCCAGGGGTGGGGTGCCTTTTCCTCCCAGGGTTTGGTCTTCTAGAATCCTAGGTGACTATAGGTTTAGACAATGAGTTTTCTCTATGCCTTCAGCCAGAAACACAGAATGAGGATGTCCAATTTCACCCATGCTTTTAGTTGCCAATGGGCTATGAAGATGAGTCAACACTTTTAGTAAAAACAGCTTCTAAGTGCCTGTTTCATTACCACTGAGTGACAGGCCCATCCCATTAAATGGGTACTTTCAACCCAGCAATGGCTTACAAGCTTGCCATAACTGGTTAAAGTAATGACATGACCTTTTTGGGGGAGTTAATATAATATTCTTGTGGTACCCTTTTTTCTTAAGTTTTTGAGCTGGCTTGTATCTCAATGTGATTCCCAAAGTTCCTTCAGTATCTTCATGAAAGGTTTTCCCTCATTGAAAGAATTCTGGTTTGATGGTTTTCCATGGTACAATCTGACTGTAGCCTCAGGACATATCTTGTGTGTACCCTCTGATGGATGCTGAGTTGAGTCTATCTGCTGAAGGCTTTCCCATATTCAGTACACTTGTAGGTTTTTCTCCTGTATGGATTCTCAGATGTAATCTAAGTGTTGATCTCTGGCTGAAAGTGAGAAAAAAGAAGGAGGAGGAGAAGGAGGAAGAGAAAGAGGAGAAGGAGAAGGAAAAGGAGAAGGAGAAGGGGAAGAAAGAAGAAGAAGGAGGAGGAGGGGAGGAGGAGGAGGAGGAGGAGGAAGACGAAAGCTTGTGACCATTTTGTATGTCAAAACATTTGGTTAAAAAAAGAATATTATATTAAAGTTAGTATCCATGTGTATGTATTTCAGTACATATATCTCCAGATCCAATTATAAATAGACATACCCAATTCTTGAGCTTTTATGACTTTTTGTGTGGTTGGGATTCAAACCTAGGGTGTTGCCTGTGCTAGGCAAGTTTTTGTTTTTTTTTTTTTTAACCACTGATCTATATCACCAGTCCACAGTGACCTTTTTAAAGTCTTGAATGAATTGAATATTTTAGGAGGAGAAATAAAGTTTAGACAGACAGTAAAAAAAAAAAAAAGAACAAACATCTGTGGTTGACCACTGTCCTCAACCTTCACAAACCCGCATGTATATTTGTGCTAGTGCACAGTCACACCCCCACACACATACACAGAAAAAAAAGACATGACCTTTCTTCCACGTACCTTGTCTTTTTCAAGAACCATATTTTCATAGGACTGTCCCCTAATCCTCTTCTGGCCCGCAACCTCTAGCCTTTCTTCCAGCAAGGAAACTTTCTTAAGCAGTTGTGATTTTGCTTCTTCAGAGGCTAAAAGCTAAAGATACGTTTTTATAAGGACATGGAATTCAGTGATACTTTAAGAGCTTTATTTTTAAAAAGGTCAATCTAGGAATGATTTGTCTTCTACTAATGTCTGTTAAATCTTTTGGTAAAGAGGTTTTGCAACCTTCTCTCCACAAAACAAATGATGAGAGGAAGAAGGAAATATTGTTGAGTTCATTATTTCAAACATGGGTAAGAGAGCTAGGAACACAGTCACAACACAGGAGACATCTCTGCTTATCAGGGTCTCATCACTCACCTCCGCTGTGTTCTGAGGGCCCACAGTGGCAGGCACAGCTGCCTCTGAATCCCATCTTGTGGTCACATAAGGTTCTTGAAACTTAACTCTTGGGAGTCTATAGCTTGCCACAAAGTGTGTGAGTTCTCACTCACTTGAACACTTAGTGTAAGAGCAGTAGTGTTGGAGGCAGAGGGGAGTGTTGGATGTTAAATGTTGCAAGTTAAATTCTGTTTAAAGCAAGATCTATGTGAAATCACAACCAAAACACCCTTTTGTTCTTGTTCTACTCTTCTGAACCCTCCGGAAGGAGTGGGTATGGTGGCCCTAGTCACTTGGAGAGCTCTCTAACTGACTTCCTTTCTCTGAGACAGCTCACTGTGCTCTATCTCAGAAACTCAGAGGCACTCTTGAGAAGCACTGGAAAACTGGGAGAATTTTGTGTTCACTGCAACTCCCTGGTGAGCTCTGAAGCATAGATTACCTCTGAGTATCTCTTTCACATCATCCTGGATGTTACTGCAAAGTCCCCTCATCACATAATAATTAAAACACCAAACGTACAGAATAAAGAAAGAATATTAAGAGCAGAAAAGGAAAAATGCCAAGTAACATATAAAGGCAAACGTATCAGAATTACACCGGATTTCTTCTTGGAAACTCTGAAAGCCAGAAGGCCCTGGATAGATATTCTACCAACTCTAAGAGAACACAGATGCCAGCCCAGACTATTATACCCAGCAAAGCTTTCAATGACTATAAATGGAGAAAACAAGGTATTCCAGACAAAACCAGATTTAAACAATATGTAACCACTAATCTAGCCCTACAGAAAGTACTGGAAGGAAAACTCCAACCTAAGGAAATTAACTACATTCACAAAACATGGGCAATAGATAAACTACACTCACATAAACATAGTCAATAGATAATCCCACTTTACCAAAACCCAAAAGGAAAAACAGGGTAAATCCACATACAATACCACTACCAACAACAAATCAAAAACAAACAAGAATAAGCACTCAGTGGTCCTTAATTTCCTTCAATATTAATGGGTTTAACTCGCCTATAAAAAGACACAGGCTTACAGAGTGGATACAAAGACAGAATTCATCCTTCTGCTGCATACAAGAAACACACCTCAAATTCAGAGACAGACATTACCCCAGAGTAAAGGGTTGGGATCAGATATTCCAATCAAATGGACCCAAAAAACAAGCTGGAGTAGATATCCTAGTATCTAACAAATTATATTTCAAACTAAAATCAATCAAAAGAGATGAAGA